TATATGACTGTTAACACCATCACCCAGTCAGTGGTGTTATATGACTGTTAACACCATCACCCAGCAGTGGTGTTATATGACTGTTAACACCATCACCCAGTCAGTGGTGTTATATGACTGTTAACACCATCACCCAGCCAGTGGTGTTATATGACTGTTAACACCATCACCCAGCCAGTGGTGTTATATGACTGTTAACACCATCACCCAGTCAGTGTGTCAGAGCGGAGGGGTTGTCTTAACACACTCTGTGGGTGGGGTGGGGTGGTGGAGGGGTGCGTGAGGGAGGGTTTACCGCCTCGCTGGCAACAATGACGCTCGTGTGCGCATGAGCAACAGAGTATGGACGCTGAAAGGTGACTGGCTCACTATTTCAGGGTTGTGTAAGAGTAACGGAGGTGATGATGTACAGTGGTTGTGTAAGGTGTATGTATGGGTGGTCGTACTCAAGGAGAATCTGGTGTTAAACGGCACATAAGGAAGTGCGTTGGTGCGTCGTGTCTGTTTTGGTGTAGGTGGAGGAATTGGGTGTGTTGATGTGCGTCGCATTCATGAGTCGTGTGTGTGTGTGGATGTGCGTCGCATTCATGAGTCGTGTGTGTGTGATGCGTCGTATTCGTGAGTCGTGTGTGTGTGTGTGTGTGTGTGTTGATGCGTCGTGCATTCATGAGTCGTGTGTGTGTGTGTATGATGTGCGTCGTGCATTCATGAGTCGTGTGTGTGTGTGTGTGTTGATGTGCGTCGTGCATTCATGAGTCGTGTGTGTGTGATGCGTGATGTGCGTCGTGAGTCGTGTGTGTGTGTGTGCGTCGTGCATTCATGAGTCGTGTGATGTGCGTCGTGCATTCATGAGTCGTGTGAGTATTGCAACGTATCTGTGGGAGTGTCAGTTGCACGCTGTATATAAACACGACAGGTTTAAATGCCATGTACGCGTGACTATAGTGTGTGTGTGTGTGTGTGTGCTGTCACCCACGCACACGAGACGGCCATAGAAGCGTGTAATCAACGCCGAGGAATGACAACCAACGCAAAACTGGACATAGACCACACCATCATTCACTGTCCACACATACACACACACACACACACACACACACACACACACACACACCTTTCTTCTCATTTTCCTTTCTTCTCTTCTCTTCCTTTTTTTTCCCTCGTCTTACACAATATCTACCAAAACAAACGATAACTAGAACTAACTGTACGTGTCATCCCGGAGATTCGCTACATCACCACAAACTGTTTAAGAGTTGATCGTCTCACCCACCAAACTGTATCATGATTACAGTTAACAGCTACAACCTACAATAAAAAGAAACTGCACACTGAGCTAAAGTTATATTTAAGAGTATAATAACAGTCAGAAAATTGCTACACTACACTTATCAACAGTGACAAAATTAAATCAATCTGGAACGTCATTTTTGTAAACAACACAACATTCACAACAAAACAGAATCTCTCTCTTCCAAACACTAAACAGACCACGAGCTTATACACTCAAGACACGAGGTTAACAGATGTATTTGCTCCTTAAATAAAACTTGATGGTCATTAATTAATTACTCTAGAGCCACTGACACGTAAGTAAATAAGAGATAATGGAGGTGTGAGTGGGTGCAGGTCTGTTCTGGCGGGAGTTTCAACGCGGTCGTAAGTAGGCAGGGAGTTAAGTATCCGTGATTTCGACGCGGAGTTTTTTGTGTTAGTGCTCTCTCTCTCTCTCTCTTAAAACACACACACACACAAAGGAAACATAATAAGCAATGGAAAGGCAGCTATAATACACCTACAGTAATTACCACTATATAGTTAATTTTCTTCAAGTACTCGTTACTGAAGGTGTGTACAGGGACTTTGGGGTAACTTTGTGTGTATGTGTGTGTGTGTGTAAGGCAGACGACGAGGCTACTTCTTATTTCAATTCTGGATGGTGAGGAGGGTGGGGGGGTGGGGGGTGGAGGGGGGGTGGAGAAAGTCACAACGTGCACCTCACCCCCACCACTTTCCCCACCTTCTCCTCCCCCTCCTCCCTCACCTTAAAAAAGACGACCACACTCCAAGCAGATTTACTTCCCCACCTTAGTAACAACGACCACTACCAACAACTACGACCACCACCAATTACGACCATCAATTACACGTCCTGGGGTTGCGTACGACCTTTGATAGTATAAACAGATCCTACAAGTCCTCATGGAACGGACCTTGTTAGACGTTGAGAGGGGATGGGAAGGGAGGTGAGGGATGGTGAGGGAGATGGTGAGGGGGGGGTGGAAGGGAGGGAATGAAGAGGAATGGTAAGGAGATGGTAAAGGGAGAAGGGAGGAGAGAAAAGGGTGGGAAGGGGTGGGGAGGAAGGGAGGGGAGGAAGGAAGGGTGGGGAGTAAGGAAGGGAGGGGATGGAAGAGGGGGGGGGGTGACAAGAGAGGGGATGGCAGGTTTGGAGAAATTTTGCCTTAAACCACCTGCTTGATTCCATGACAACAGCGGCAGGAAGAAAAAACAGACGAGCTTTTATGCCGGTCAACCTCTCTCTCTCTCTCTCTCTCTCTCTCTCTCTCTCTCGTCTGTTCAGTCTTAAGCATAGAGTCGCTGGTCAGGTATATCCGTGTTGTTGTCTGTTTATGTGTACAGATGTTAAGGTGTATTTAAAGTGGAATTCAAGGTCCATTATTTATGACACGATGCAAAACGAGACGACTTAACCTAATCTGACCTAACCTAACTACACTTGACCTAACAAAAAACCAACCCTAACCTAACCTAACTACACTTGACCTAACAAAAAAAACCAAACCTAACCTAACTACACTTGACCTTACAAAAAAACCAACCCTAACCTAACCTGACCTTTACCTAACATATCAAATTAACGAAACCATACCTGACCTAACACAACCTACCCAGGCTACCCTAACCTAACCTAACCTAACCTCAGTAAAGGATAGAAAGACCTGAGAAACAAAGGACAGTGGTGCCAGATACATGTGAAAGTTAAACCCCCCCCAAAAAAAAAATATCCAATGTTTGTTTACCATGACGTCACAGCCGACTTTAGTTACATCCAAATAATAAGTTCATTTACGGTTTACAGTCATTGTTCTCACTGATACGTCGACCTCGCTAAGTCATGACGGGGTAAATGAGTTTGTTTTATTTAGTTTCTTTGTTATTGTTTTTTCCGGTTATAAACAGAAACAAAGGGAGTGGTAAATAAAGTGAACATATTTAGTCGTGTTTGAGTCGACAGTCGCCAGGGAACACACGATGAATAATTGACTGACTTGACTGGCTCTTCTTCTTCTCTATCATCTCCCGCTTTCCTTCTCTCCTGCACCATCTTCCATCTCTCCCCAACACATCAACCCCCCTTCCTCCTCCAACCCACCATCTATTGCCTTCCTCCCTTCAAACCACCACCTCTTAATACCCTCCCTCCCTCCCTCAAAACCACCGCCTCTTCCCTTCCTCCCTTCAAACCACCCTCCCCCCTTCCTCCCTTCAAACCACCCTCCCCACTTCCTCCAAACCACCAATCCTCTCCCTCCCACCGCCTCACACCACGACCTTAACACACGACCATAACTGAGCACACCTCTAGTGTCCTACATTAACTTGTATTAGTACAGTGTTGATGTAGTGTCTCTGTCCGATGTATCAAATGAAGTCAACTACCCCCCCTTCTTCTCCCTATCCCCGACCTTCCCCCACCTCCATCCTATCCCATCTGACCAGCGCAAGAGGTTGGGTTGGGTTAGGTTAGGTTAGGTTAAGACAAGCACACAAGATACCAAGACATCGGCGCGTTGATTCAGTTCTGGTCCAGTGGATCGTGAGGCCTTCCGGTCGAACCCCTTTCCCTGCCCCCTCTCACCCCAGCCCCTGAACAACGCGCGCGAGTACACACACTCATCATAAAACCAACCAACGTGAGTGGGGTCAATGAGCCGGTGACCTGTGGTAATTTAACTTCTGAATGTGGTGACTGCTGGGGAGTGGTGATGGTGGTGGTGGTGGTGATGATGATGAACAGTGTCAGAATCCACCACACAACAATACAATCGACGTATATTAATTTAATCCACATCACATCACACACACACACACACACACACAACACAACATAATCCAGCAGAATGGAAACATCTTCAGTACTACGACTGTTAACATTAGCATCGAGGCAAAATCACCCCATTAATTGGCGTCTTTCTACAGCACAACACAAGACAGGTTTCACTCCTCCGTCTCTCTCGTTACAATAATAATGACATACCGAACCAGCAATTAGTTTGTGGCTAATTACCCAACAAGCAGTTAGTGAGTGGTTGACCCCTAATGATGTATTTATACTTTTTTGTTACTATTTTTGGGGTCATTTTCTCTCGTTATCTATTGACTCAAAGCTCATCTTTCAAGCCTAACATCTCACCTAACTTAAAGTAACATAATTCAACCTTAACCTACCCCAACGTAATTTAAACTAATCTAATCTAACGTGATTTAACCTATCTAACATAAATACGTTTTAGAAGGCTGCAATATTCACGATAAAATCAATCATTATTACATAGGCCTACTAATTTAAGACATTACCATCATTGACCATTATAAATATACAGCATAATCTTTAGGCCTCAACTCATATGTGCCATAGATTACTTATAAGGTAGTAATAACAAGTGCACTTTACACTAAGACGTCACAGTCCCGACCTCAGCTCACTAATGTATAATGCATCACTTGTATGGCCACTTACATCATATCTTTATCCCAGGATGAATAGCGTCAGGAGTGACTATAAAATAATTACTATAAAGTTTTAGATTCAAGGAGACGATTAATTGACGTCAAAGTTAATTATATTAGGGATGATATTTTCATGTTACCAGTATGGTAATGTGGTTTGTTTTGGTATGGCTGCCCCAAGACGGACGTTGTTTCTCCTGGGGATAAACAAGAGACGTAGGTAACCAGAAGGTGTTTTAACTTACCTGGTGTAGCGACGAGGATGAGTAGGGTGTAGTAGGTCCACGACACCCTAGGCCGGGCCCCAACACTCATACTGGCCTAGCACTAGTCCACACTAACAAGAACAGTACTCATATTTGTGTCACATGCCAGAACACCTTGTGAATTTACATGAGGTAACGTGGCTGTGAGAGACGAGCACAACAGGTTAACCCGTAGCTCGCTCACATTCGTTTATTATTTTCTCTATTAACTCATTAACGATTTGTAAACACTATAAATTAATTCCTTCCTCGATTTGGGAGAGCTATTCACTTGGTGTTGACGCTTGATTTCATTGTATTATATTATTCCAAAGTAGGATATTTGTTTTTTCATAATCCGAAGAGCTCACGTACAAGCACCTGCACTGCTTAGACTTTCCATCGGCACTGACGTCAAGAGGTCGAACAGTTCCTCCTCTTGTCTGGACTGTCGAGTTGCCAGCGGCCATAAAGCTACAACAGGTATAGTAGAAAGTGACATCTGCGTCGTTGTTGTATTTTAGGAGAACTACATCGACAGGAACAACTACTACCAATATTTCACATAGTTTAGGAGTAATATTTAGCTACAGTAGTAAAGAAAGGTTAATAAAACTGAGAGATACTGCATAGTCAGGCTTGGTCACGGCGTCCCTAAAGAAAAACTGAGCTTTTTACTATTTTACAATATTCATAACTTTACTTTACAAACTCCATTATGTTGAATAATATATACACATTAAAACACGAAAAATAAATCTGAATAATTCACATACACGGCGGCATAAACTCGAGCTTAACACCTCTACAAGTTTCATAAAAGTTCAGTAAATCGTTCCACAAGTTCATAATACAGAAAATAACTTTGATAATTATTACGAAAGATGGAAAATAAGGGATATAAGAATACATGAGATAACTTTGTCATCCATATAGGGCCGTAGAGTTGAAATATCGTAAATACCTCCCCGCCCCGCCTCCTGTAACGATCAAACTGCTCTAATCACCAATAAGGATTACCAGAGAACAAGTAAACACTATCTCTACGGCTGGATTTACATGATTACAATGACTGATTCACATTGTTTCTATAGAGGGAATTAAACTGTTTTTCCTTTTTTAGCACAGATTTATAGGCTCTCTCAGGTGGAATACTAGGATCCTATAGTGAGATTACAATATAGGGATTTACATACTTTCAATAAAAGATTTAAAAGCTTTCTATCGGTGGATTAACAGGCTCCTATGGCACGATTTCTATACAGGGATTAATCTATTTTCAAAAGTAGATTATAAGCTCCGGAAAAACACGATCCCAAGACGAATATTGAAGTGTTTTAAAGTGATATTATAAAGTTATGTATGTAAATCTTATAGGCCTATAGTGCTAAAAGCATTCATAGGCCTACATAAGCACTTATAAGCCTTTAGAGTTCAGAGGCTTATGTGAACTACCCTATGTTTTAGTAATTGTCTTGTGTATTTGACTTGATTCTTTACTATAGCTTATTTCACCTGATGATTAGACACCCCAGCTTATTTTACCTGATGATTCGACACTCCAGCTTATTTCACCTAATGATTAGACCCCCAGCTTATTTCACCTGATAATTAGAAACCCCAGCTTATTTCACCTGATGATTCGACCCCCAGCTTATTTCACCTGATTAGACACCCCAGCTTGTTTTACCTGATGATTAGACACCTCAGCTTATTTAACATGATGATTCGAAACTTATTTCACCTGATGATTCGACACCCCAGATCATTTCACCTGATTAGACACCCCAGCTTGTTTTACCTGATGATTAGACACCTCAGCTTATTTAACATGATGATTCGAGACCCCAGCTTATTTTACCTGATGATTAGACACCTCAGCTTATTTCACCTGCACCAGCTTATTTCACCTGATTAGACACCCCAGCTTGTTTTATCTGATGATTAGACACCCCAGCTTTTTTCACCTGATAATTAGACACCCCAGTTTACCTGATGATTAGATACACCAGCTTGCTTAACCTGATTAGACCCCAGCTTATTTTACCTGATGATTAGACACCTCAGCTTATTTCACCGGATGATTCGACACCCAAGCTTATTTTACCTGACGATTCGACACCCCAGCTTATTTAACCTGATGATTAGACACCCCAGCTTAACATCTCTAATACACTGTAACAACAAAAGTATACCCTACTGTGTATTTAATCCTTAATCACGAGGACAGTATTAAATGGCAGATCAAACGGTTTTATACCTTTTGAGGACGATGATTTTTAACCCTCTCGGTCACAAAGGGTTGAGCTGTGTGGGGCCCCTCTCCTGATCCATTCTAGTTACCACCAGTGCAGAGAGAGGTGTAGCTCCTGTCTTTGTTCACTTCTAACATGCCTCCTCTTACCTCACACTGAAAGAGTAACATGTACAGGCGATGATGATAAAATGAAACAAGGTACATTGGTAAATTTGCCATTTATTGAAGAAATTTCAATTTGCCTACACTTCTCACTTCTGTAGCCAAACAGAATAAAACATGTTATGTAAAGTGACTATGAATACTGGCAAATCACACAAGTGCTATCAGCATTCCATGTAATAAAAGTATTGTACATCATATTTTTATCACTTCAAAACCCTCGTACAATAATTTTGAAATTCATTAAAACAAGGAAAAGAAAATTTTCACAATAAAAAAATTACTCTTCAATATTTAAACTTTAAGTAAAAAGAGCATTCTAAATTGAAAGGTTATCAACTAAGAGAGTTTGGTGAGATTCATAACCAGGGTAAGTAGTCGAAGGTGTGCAAGTGTCACCGTGTACACACCTGCGGCCATGAGCAACTGTGTAGTGTGTGTGTGTGTGTATGTGTCCGCATGCACGTGTATCATGTTCTAAATTCATGCTAGTGTGGATACAATGTACTGCCATGCATTAAGTGTTGTGCCTCTACACGTGTGCGGGGATATAAAGGACTAAGAGGTACTGTACAGTACTACAACAGCACGGGAAAACTTATTACTGGTGGTTGAGTACAGATGAGTATTCAAGTAAAAACTCTACACTTGTGATTATAAGTGAGCAGAAAGTGCAACAATGTATAGTGGAGTCAATCAACACCGTGAAGGCTATGAAGCACGACCTGACCCTCGTATTCAATCATTATGGATACTACGATGCACGACCTGGCCCTCGTATGAATGGCCGGAAGGTCAGATCCCAACCCTTCTACTTAAAAAAAAATAAAAAATAATGGACAGACTTTGGAAGACTACAAAATGACATGACTAGTTGGCTTAGGGTCATCAAGGATTGCATTACAGTTCACTGCTGTAAGAAATCACATTATTGGAAGTAAAGAGAAATACAAAATAAAATAAAAATTATTGCAAGTATTTTTCAACTTACTAAAATTAAGTTACCACTTCACCAGCTACGATAATATGTATTAAAGTAAATATAGTTTACCATAACAGCTGTGACCAACAAAAGTAGATACATACAGTACAGTATTATGTTAAATTAAGATGAACTGAACTGCATTTGCCTTTTTTGGAATACTATACTGTACACTTTATATACTGTGTATGTATATATATATATAATCTGTGTCTTATATAATAAAAGCAACAAATTCTGAACTAAATTAATTCCAAACAGTTAATAAAAAATGTCCTTAATACAATTACAGTACTGTTAAATATTTATGACTTTTTTGGTACAATTATTCATATCCAATAGCTACAGTACAGTCTAATAATACAGTAGCAAATTTTGTACTTACTTAACTTGGAATAATATACAGTATACATATATACAGTACGGTATTAGAAGCTGCTTAATGCAAATACAGTAAGTAAGAATATTTTGATACCAGAACTTATATATATTAATGAAAAACATATCACAAAGGTTTAGTTCATCAGTTAGAATAAAAACGAGGAGAAAAGTTAATGACACGAGACAAAGAGCGACCACTTCCTTATTCTCTCCTCACCAGAAATGACCTACGGACTACAGTAAATGTACACAGAGTTAATGACAAAAATACATGGTTATGACTGGGACTATTGAACCCATCGCCGGTACTGATGACTCTCATGTGTTGTTTATGTCGCAAACTGGTAGAAAAAAAAAATGCATGGAACACGTCAGATGAGGACATTTTATTTTTTTATACTACTGTACGGTATACGTACATGTATCTTATAGCGTACGTGAAGTAAACTTAACTACTCGTCGTAATCAACCCACACACGAGACGTCCGAAGGCCCTGACAAATGAATACATGTACTGTACAGTGTCTCAATGAGCATGAATCTTACTGTAGTATTCTAGACCCTAATGAAGTCATGGAACCCCCCCCCCTCCCCCCAAAAAAAAACAAAAAAACAATGAACGACGATGTCCTCCGAGCGTCCGTGTGCGAGTTCATTCATCTTCAAGGCGCTGTAACTGGTTTACCCCCAAATGGTTCAGGCTTAATTTAAGTCACAAAATGGTCATGACTAAAGACAGTCTTAGGAAAAAATATAAATAAATAAAATGTACAGAAAGCAGCTATCCCAAGACCGGTGGTTACAAGATCGTCATTCGTCATGGTATAAGCTCGTTTACCTGCGCTCCCTAGAATCCAACTTGGTTCTAAAGCTACATTGTAATACCTTATTAAAATACAGGAACCCCTATAAAAAAAAAGCTCAACTGGTAGATGATCTGTATGTACACTTCCTACCGATAGTCATTCACAAAAAAAAAAAATCATAATCATCTATGTAGTAATATCATGATAGTCAAGGCTTGAATTCATTATACAGTATTTATGGCAAGTTTGTCGAGGAGGGGATACCAAAAAATCCTTCCCCCTTCATTTAAAAAGCTGCAAATAAAAGTAAGAATAATGTATAGTAGCTAAAACAACAATCTGTGCAGGTGGAGATCTATATGTTCCCAAATTTTATGTGTAACTAGTGACAGCCCTCATATACCAAAATTTGTCGTCCATGGTCTCATATTGTTTCCCACAAAGTATGCACAGATAGTTGTTTAAGCTACTGTACGTCTCGGCTATGAACATCTATGCTCCATACAGTACATACCTCCTATTACAGTATATTAAGATTATATATATATATATATATATATATATATATATATATATATATATATATATATATATATATATATATATATATATATATATATATATATATATATATATATATATATATATATATATATATATATATATATATATATATATACCCTGTAAACTGGTTCAAAAGTGTGCTTCAAATGGATACTAATGTATATCAGGATTTTTATCATACAACACCATTAAAAAAAAAAAAAACTTGGAATCAAATATTTAATAGTTCACCTGCCAGCTCTCAGACCAGATGACGGAAACCTCTTGAGTACAGTGAACCATCTATTTAACAGACTACACGGAGAGGAAAATCCACTATATTGAGGGTCTGTTAGATGTGAAACCTCCATCTAATAGATAATATGGAAAGAGAAGTCCGTTATATGGAGGTATTACTGTATTGTAAACACATTAGAGACTCGTTGAGTGGAGGATTTACCAGGTAGAGCACTCAGGGAGGCACAAATCCTTCCACTTGATCACTACAACACTTTAACATTTCTTTATCTCCACATGATGTGCGGTAGAGGTCAGTTAACACACAGCTTGGGGGCCAGTGACTTACATTTAACGATCGGTCAATTATGGTTTGTTTTTTGTTTGCTTTGTGCCTCCCTATCGTCCTTGAGGTTCCGTCTACCCCACTGAAGCTATCTGGACAAGATGAATACTGTACTTATACTTCACACAATACAATGGAATACAGTTAAATACTAAAAAAAGAAAAAAAAGAAAAACCAAAGTAAAACAATAGTTGCACAATACTGCTCTGCTGTGATAAACCTTTCCTTCACTAATACTCTACTACTCTGTTTAGCCAGCAGTGGAGACCAAATACTATACAGTACTATAGTCCCTCCACTCCTGCTTCTGGTGATTGATGTTAGATTTATGAAATTTGTAATGTATGTAATAAACAAAAATTATAAGGCGTCTTATATTTCTTTGTTGATGAATTAACTTCAACACAAGAATGTGAAGAGATGTGCTACAACAGAGAGCACTAGTTGATTCACCTTCCTTGTTATATCTAGTCTTCAATCACTGCTTTATACTAAATAAAACAGATATTTGCCTCCCCAAGTCATATCCTACTTATGACTTGCTCTAGTTACAAAGTTTTTAATAATATGGCCAAATAAACATTACATTACTGATCTAAGGTCTTGAGCCACTGCGGGTGAACGGCTCGTCACATGTCGTGTACATTTACCACAACAGTTTTAGTAGACAGAAAACTTTTGCAATACATAACCCTATTGGTGGCATTTTCTGCACTCTTACAAATACCAAAAAATTACATAGGTCCAAAAAGAAGGGGGATGGGTTTCTGTCTATCTGTAATTCACCATATAGGTTTCTCTAGTTGTAGCACAACTCAACAGCCTCACACACACATAGCAACTCACCGCAAGACAATAAAGTTCACCCAATGACTTAAGAAAACTAATACAGAGTACTGTACAGCACTTTAGTAAAACATTTTCACATAGACAAACTCTTCAGGGGAGTTAGGGTAATCACCTCCCTCCATGACAATACTTTGTTCTACCAATCACAATTTATTAAAATCTGTTTATCACTAACTATAATTTACAGCAAACAAGAAATACTTTTACTACCACAGTACAGTACAGTGAAACCTCCATTTAACGGAATGGACTACAGTATATGTAAGAGGTTGTCAGTTTGATCTAAGACCGATATATGGATGTTTCACTGTACATTGACTAGTGCATAGAAAACTTGTGTGTATAACCTTCATCTGACACAAAATTACCTCAACTGAACCTTTAGTTGTCCCTCGAGCAAGTCTAGTTCCAGCACAACTGTTGGAGGCATCACTTGCACAAACAAGTAAATAAAGAGCTACTGTCTGGCTACATTTTAACACCAGCTTCAAAATCAATAATAGCAGAAATATGTCATTTACCAAACAGGTCCTCACAAAGCTCTTAATTACCTGGACACAATGATACATTATCTCATAAACTGGACACAAGACTTCCTCAAAACCAGGACATAATTCTTTCTCAAATAATATGGACATAATTGTTCCTCAAAATCTGGATACAACACTGTACAGTACTTTCTCATAAAACTTGACAAAATGCCTTCTCATAAAACTTGACACAATGCCGTCTCATAAAACTTGACACAATGCCTTCTCATAAAACTTGACACAATGCCTTCTCATAATCAGGAGATAATTTATCCCCCCAAATATGGATACAATAATTTCTCATGAAGTGAAGAGAAAAAGATAGGAACCAACGGGCAAGGTCCACCGCGTTGATGGAAAATACAAAAATTTATTCTTCCTGAGAGATTGCGAGTAGGAGGACAAACTATACACATACGATTAATTCTAGAGACAAAGGGTAGTACTTTTCTTTTGACTGTGTGTGGCTACGTGTGTCGGTGTGTGGCTACGTGTGTCGGTGTGTGTGTGTAGATGTGTGTGTGTGTGGTTGTGTGGTGTAGATATATATATATATATATATATATATATATATATATATATATATATATATATATATATATATATATATATATATATATATATATATATATATATATATATGTGTGTGTGTGTGTGTGTGTGTGTGTGTGTGTGTGTGTGTGTTTAACTGTAAGGAGAATATCAATTACTGTACATAACGAGAAAACCTTTAAAGAAATCATACATATAATTCACTTCAGTGCAGCAGGATAAATCTATATCACTGACCTCTGATTTTTTTTCTGTTTGAGAGCCTAAACTGGCACAAGGCAGAGACCGAAGAGCAGATCTGTTATCACATATGTCGGTTTTACATTACAAAACATAACACACAAATACAGCAGTAAATTAGAGGCTGGATTGGGTTATATAACATACAGTTTATTTATATATATATATATATATATATATATATATATATATATATATATATATATATATATATATATATATATATATATATATATATATATATATATATATATATATATATATATATATATATAACAATACCCTATATATTGTCTATATATATATATATATATATATACAGTATATATATATATATATTGTCTAAAATACCCTATCCAATGGGACAGAAAATCCTATACAGTACTGTGGAGCTAAAAAAAAAATTGGCTGCCCACAAACTGAGAATTTCCAGCTTTTTATGCATAAACCAGGCAACGTAAGTCAGCGTAAGTCTGCTATATAATGACTGCGCGACTGTCTCTAAATATATCTACAGAGTACCTAAGCATGATGTGAGAGATAATGCTTTCACGTATGGTCAACCCTGCAGGTTTGTTTTCACTGTCTCACGAGCCGTAACACAACTTGATGTTCACGCCACACCACCGACACAACCACAAGGGGAATGTACTGTACAACTAATCAAGAGAAAATATTTCCAATGAACTAAATCAATCAATGAAAAGTTTTTAACCCAATAAATAAGTAATTATTGCAAAATTTAACTTCTAATAATCTTAAAGAGCATCATGAGAAAATATGACAAAGCAAACTTTAAATTCTAATATCACATAATTAACACTAAAAGTTCTCTTCTGATTCAAATTCCAAGATAAAAACACATCATTTTGAGTAACTTCCCAATATAAACTGCATATAGAGAGAGTAAATGAGTACATATAATCGCTACACCAATATATTATGTAAAAAACTAAAATCACAACAACACACTGTTATGCACAGTATAGGAGCACACTGTTACATCACTTATGGTCATACAGCACTTTACCTTTCTCTATTGTTAATGTGTCCTAGGCTCCCTCCCTTTAAACTTGTAAGTAAAAAAAAAAAAAAAATAATAATAATAATAAATAAAACATTTATCAGTCTACCAGTAGTACCTGAGTTACTAATGATATCTTGGTGAAGGGACATTTGGGCCATGGACGTTTAGGCCACGGACGTTTGGGTCACAGTTAGGTTCGGTTAGATTAGGTCCTAACCACCCTAGCCCAAACCAAACATCCCCTGGCACAAACATCCTACATTCCAATATCTCACAACAAACTGTAGCTCTTCCTTCAGCTCATAAAGGTTTCTCACATTTTTGGGTTCATTTGTAGGCCGTACAATACTTTCGAGAATATATTTTTGTTTGTGAGGAACATCACAGTGGCCAAGCAGAACACAAAGGCAGGCACAGCTGCCAAGGATTTGACATAAGCAAAAGTACAGATTTTAGAAACCTATTATTTTTATTAAAATTTTTTATGGTTATGAACACCACCTCTGTGCTACCAGCTCTTCATCTATACAACTGTTATATCAATTACGTTATTCATGTACACTGTACAGTCGACTACTAAAGTCCGTTCACCCAACAACGAACCCCGAGATTCAGACTCGTGAACCCGAAGCAGTAGACTGACTTATAAGTCTAATTCTCAGTGTTCAGGGTGGTTCTGAGGTACAGGCGAATGTACTGCCTACACATTGATATACATAGGCAAGGGTTTCATACACCAGTAATCATTATTGCATACTACCAATTCACTTTACAAATTCAAAAAACAAGTAATCTGCATTTTTAGTCTTCAACATAAATCTTGAGAATACCGACTCTTCACGCCCAACTGTCTGTGACCCTGAGTATCAACACTCAGTTGTCAGGATGTGAATAATGAAATCAAACAAACTAAGACGTTAATTACTACACCCAGTTACAACCTAACCTAACCACCATCATAGTACTGTGTGAATATTACCCTTAACACAGTACACAATCAGTATGTTCCTTTAAATTAGCATACATATGTATTTAAGATCGATACCCCGAGATTAGTGATAACCCTCGAGACATGACGTGTTGATTCCATACCTTCACAGCTTGAAATTATGAAGATAAATGGGGATATACTGTACAGCGTCTGCAAAAATAATATGATCTGCGTTACATAATTCAAGACGTTTTGACCCCCTGTTGTGACATTGAAAAGTGACCTAAACACAGCTCAATAATAATAATAAATAATAACTGATGATGATTATTAATAATCAATATACTTTGCCCTTATAATATATATGTTCATTAGTATAATGGATGAAGAAGAGAAACTTTAAAAGTGTCAAATATAAGCAACCATTAAACTCCACTCCACTTATAAATGAGGTTAGGTTAGGTTAGGTCATCATCACCCTCTCCATCCCTCAACACCTCCACTTGGTGTAAACTTCACTTCCATTCCCCACTAAACAATACAGGTAAAGGTTAACATATACTGTATACTATTTACAACTAAAGTAATTCTACAGATCTGGTTGAGATAAGATTCTTCCCCTCCTGCTTGTGATCAGCCACACGCATGCATGCACGCATGCACACACACACACAGTTCCTTTGGTACTGTATAGAAACCAATATTACGAGTACTGTAAACGGTCACAAATCAAATACGGACACATAATCACAAAATAAAACACCCTTTCAGGATACATAAAAAAATACTGTCTAATAAATTTCAAATATTTTCCTTGTATAAAAATAATGATCTCTTTACGTGACTAAATAAAAGCTATGGATTATGAAATATAATGATGACTCAGCACATCTTGGGCAGAAACGAACTTGGTGTCAAATTAAAGCCTAAGGGGGTCAAGGGACGCCCGGCCGGGGTTTACAGGTCATCATCGTTGTTAGCGCTGTTTAATGTTTTCTTTGTAAACACTGCCAGGAACACCAGCTATGGCAGCTGTGTTGCGACAGTACTGTACTGGACAGCGAAACCTCTATTTAACGGACTATACGGAGATGATAGGCCATTATATCGAGGGTCTGTTAGACGTGAAACCTCCACCTAATGGATTACTGTATATGGAGAGAGAAAGTCTGTTACATGGAGGTCTTACTGTACAGTACAACCTTTCTACCGTGTCTAGGACTGTAAGTCATAACAAAATTTGGTGAATTCTGGCATTAGGGTCGGTAAAGGTCAGCACCTTACTGTTTAACAAGATAATCTCAGCAATATAAGAAGCTTATGGTACAACCGTGTCAAAATATATCGATACTTCTTGATACAGTAAACGTGATAATAGCAGCCGGTGAGGACAGAGTATGGTAACTGTCAAATAACTGCACAAATTCAAGCCAAATGATTCTTACAACTGATGAACTGCCAACTACTGTACAGTCTGGAGCACAAAGAACACTAACAACTGCTCATGTGATCAAATATCAAAAGGAAAAAACACATAAACCTCATTATATCCTCCAATTAATACCTTGCCTTGTTTAACAGCCAATCTCAAGTACTGCAGTTGTAGTTGTTACGGTTATCGTTCGGCTTGTCGTGTTGTTATTCCTGGGGATCAACAGAGCCACGGTATTGGACGAGACAGATTTAACGCCTTCACACAAAGTAACAAGTGAAGCGGTGCACCTAACTGAACTATGTACCATTCGTGTTGTTGGATGATCGCCCTAACAAAAAGATATTTGTACAAATTCTACTCGTTCAAAGTAAGTAGTTATTTACATGACATAAATCCGTGCTATACAGTACAGCTGAAAATAAATATTTTGTACAAAAATGAGTTGTACAGTAAACTCCTTCTATTAAAAATATTTACCAAGTTTATGAAATGGAAGAAAGCTGTATTGGAAAATACAGTTACCTGTGATATCAAAACTAATCTACATACAACTGTTAACAAATGAAATATAAATACCACAAATGGCCGCCGCAGAGTACGGTGCTGCGACAGTCAGGCAGCCAGCATTGAGTGCAAAAAACTGTTGCTAAAAGTATGTCATTCTGCAAAAATGTGAACAGAAATCCATACTGTTGACTACCACATCAGGGCACATGAGTTATGTAGGCTAGACATGTGCTGCTGTTGCACCTTCAAGTAGCAAGAATCACTTTATACATTACAGTGATATACTGTGTATGTGTATACATACAGTATATATACCTGTATATACAGTATACTGTATACACACACACACACACCAAACTTGTTTATTTAATGAAAGATTTCTTGGGCATTCACTACATCTTGTGATATAATTTACATGGAGAGGAAAATAAGTTAGATATAAGACATGCAATGACCCATTACATGTTCCACTACCAACTGTAATAATTTACATCTACACTACTGAACAGTATGCCATGATAACAATATCATTTGAGGCAGCCCAATACAGTAAGAAAATATATATTTTACGCTCGAGCCACCGAGTCCACATCACCGATCGCTAACAATGGAAATTATGAACACGTTCATACACTTTCTTGATATCCAAACAAATATGTAAAAAAACCACAGCTGAGAATAAATTTTAATAGAAAATATAGCTATACTGTATGAACCCAAATGACATTCAACGGGAGGTAGAAATAGTGCACCAGATTACTGTAATGTGTCAACCCATTCCTCTCTCTGTCCCGGTCTCCCTCATGACCTTTACTAATGGTCAACTGGATACTATAAACTTCCACAGCAACACCTTCAGCTCCTCAATATTACCAACACAAAAATCTATTGTTTAAATTGGAACCACAAAATCCTCCATTCTTATTATGCGAGATGCGTAAGAGTATTGTTGCATTGAGCAGTGACTACTTGAGTTGGACAGTGCCTGTTAACTCTACATCATTACATTTCATATATGTTATATCAATTTACAGTAACTCCCTGCTAATGTGTGTGTTGCTCTTTGCCATTCAATATTCTTGGGAGTGATAAATTCATTCCCTTCGATATTAAACGACTTTGGAAATTAAATGTTCGCCTCGGGATGCTCGACAGTAGTGCACTTGTTAATTTGTCAAATACGTACATCACACAAATCTGCACACCTGGACATTCTCAAGCAAGCAAAGCTTAATTATTATCTTGACCAATAGTAGTCACATCCCACTGTTCTACACACACCAGCCCTAAGCTCTGAGAGGGACAGACTTCAGCCAATAATCCCTCCCGTATTGCATTATTTAGTTCCATAAAAATATAGGCATAATTTAGTTATAAAATACAGCATTAAGCGTCGATCTACCCGACCCTCCACAGGACGTTTTAATAATGAATTTGTTTATGTTCACGATGGTGAAAGATGACCAAGTCTACAATGTTTTTAACATTAAAACACATTTATTATTTCTTTAAAGTTATTTTTTTGTGGAGTTGTACCCATTTTTGGTTGTCAGAAATCTACAGTAACTTGTTTTTCTCACCAGCAGTTAACTTCGATGAAGATTAATGAACCATCACAGTTCAAGATATTTTCGTGCCGAACCTCAAACATTACCGAGGAGTCGCTGTATCTTGAGTTAAATGACATATATGAGCCTTCTTGACCTACTAAACTATCAGATCTAAATCTACCTCACTTCCACAGGATTTCCAGCAAACCACAGCATACAGCACAGCACAGCACTTGCTTTCTTAAGAGAGGAATGGGTATAAATGGGTTGCAAGAAGATTAAGACTCATTAAAATTGTGAATATGGTTGCATCTTTCTATGTCTTCCAAAAAACAAATGGGCTGTTAACAAAATTCTTTACTGGAACGATCTGGTCAGACTTATTATTTAAGTAAAATATCATTTAGAGGGGAAACTCCCCAAAGCCAACACAGACTGTGCTTAAATTAAACATCAATAACAATTTGTTCAAACTGAGAGCTGCTTCTTCTTGCAACTGATGCCATGTTCTTCTAACATTTGCTGTAGAAGATAATATGTATAATGTTTACTGAAGAATGAACATACTATTGCATATGAACCTATTCAATACAAATACAGTATTTTGAAAACGGCTAAACCTAAATCAGATTCTCTTCGTAACATCTTAATGCTCGTTTTCCTTCATAATGTATTAATCATTCATATAAATAAAGCTAACAAGACTTTCTTAAAATATCTGCTACAGCAGTAATTCCCAAACATTTATTTTGCCCAAAAGGAACTACTGTACTGTACATACAATTTATTGACTGAAATATCACACACCATTATGATGGCCACTGAATTTTGTTACTCTCAGAAAAAGGCCAAACCTAAATGATCATCTTGTCCACTAAACACCAGACTTAATCAAGGAGCCGCTGCTTTAATTATTATCTACATAATAACCTGCCTGACATTTTCTATTAACCAGTTTTCCTACATTCAGTATCGGAGGAAATGACAAACATATCTTGACATATCAAAGGCACATCTATCCTCAACACATGTTAAGGTAAGTGCATTTTTCACTTTTACTTAAAAAAAAAAAAAACAGTGAATCCATCTGTAACTAAATAACTCACATCATTATGGCACTATGACTAGATCAAAAATATCTCAAAATCTATCAAGAGGGTTAAACACCAAAACTGTCAAAACCATAAATATTCAACGTTCACTTGAAGCACACGACAACACTTGGCTAACATCTACAGCTGGACAGACTTTATCTGCTGTACCATCACACTTTTGGGGCCGATGCTGCCACTTTCTTGGTAACAGCGAGAGCAATACCCGCTCGTTGAACAACTTCCGTAGAACTTGCAGTCTCGAGTCAGGCACGGCTGAGAGGGACTCTCCGACCTGTCTTCTCCCCGGACGCACACGTTCACTTCGTCTATGGCCACGGGCGTGAAGCTCTCGGAGCTCCGGCAGGCCATCGTGGTGGTCACCACCGACAGGGATGACAGTTGTGAGGGAGAGTCCGGTCCCGGTAAGTGAGTGCCGACGCCCACGGTCAGGTCACTGTTAGGAACGGTAGACTGGGACTTAGCAATATTATAGCTTGGAATAGTTGAACTGTCACTGTAGAATGTGGAGTTTGAGAGAAACAAAGTGCCATCTTTTTTAGAGGACAATGGTTGAATAACAGGAATCTTAGAGGCATCCGACACTGAGGCAGCATCCAACTCTGCATAAAACTTTGACTTCCCCGCTCCGTATTGCGGCCCGTCGCCCCTAAAATCTTGAGCTTTTGGAGAATTAAGATTACCGGAAGTTTGGCGCTTGTACTCTCGTTCTTGCTCCTTCTGTTTGGAGAAACACGCAGAACACATATAAGACGTGACTGCAGTGCCATACAGACTACACCCCGGGTTAATACACTGTACTGGACCCTCCACCTCTGCCTGGTGCTGCAGCTGCTGCAGCTCTAAATGCTTCATCTCCTCCTCCTGTCGTCTCCTCAGCTCTGTATCTTTCTCAAACCTCCGACGTGCAGTGTTGAGATAGTTGCGCACCATCTCCTCCTGGTATGCGTGGCGTTTTTCAGTGTGAATCATAGCTGCCAGAATATAATTCTGATGGGTAGAAATCTTTGGCATGCGGCTGTTTTTTGCCATGCTGCAAGTTTTTACGTACTCGTCTTTTTTCTTAAATGACCCAGCGCGACCTAGTTTTGACAAATTGCCAAAGTTCTTTTTAATTTTCTTTGACATGGTCTTACCAATGCTCCCAAACTGCTTTGCAACTGTCTGTAGTTGCTTTGAGGCCTTGCTCTTGCTGGCAAATATTCCAACCGTTCCATCGGTGTATGGAGGACCTTCATCCGAGTCAAAACTTGACTCGGACGATTTCTTCTCGATCTCTGGGTGATAATTCTCTGGCGACTCGGCCTCATCCACTGCCTGGCAAGCTTCTAGATAGCCCGGTGGAATGGGAACCTGTTGAGAGTAAATGACCAATACATTTGTGGGGTAATGTTATAAGATGTATCTTAATCTATAACCTGGGTTTCTATGGGGAGTTAATGTCCTTTCTATTCTGGTGTGAGAAAAATAAATAAATTGACATAAGTCGATGTAAAGTTTCGAGTTAGCTACACCAAGTATATACAGTATAATCAGTACAGTAGAGACCCCCCCAAGAGGATCCTGACCTGGGTGACATCCAGGTATTCATTCAGGAGACCAATCTGATCATGGTTGGTGATGGTTAGCTTCTGTACCATGGCTGGGTTCTGGTCGTCTCTTCCCCACACAAAGTCCTCTCCGGGGTCAATCACAAACTGGATGGGTAGCAGCTCGTGGCAACAGTCAGTCAGAGGAATCACAGCTAAAAAGAGAAAAATTATATGAATCATCTTATGAGGAAAAAAAAATTGGTTACAAATGACTTAAATCCCAGGCAGAAAGTAGACCACAATAACTTAGTTGGAAGAGAAGTGATTATGGTCGGTTTACTTAAAAGAAAATAAAGTATGGTAAAGCCTCTATTTAACGAACCATAATATTTATAGAGATGAAAATACGTCATATTGGGGGTTTCGCTATATGGTAATTGAAATATATTTAGCATTTATGTAAAGCCAAAAGAAAAGTTATCGAATATTTACACGGAAACGACAGGGTATTATATAAACAGTGAGAGACATTAAGCAGCTTAAATTAACAATCTTACTTACCTGGGAGCTGAGAGGCACTACAGTCTGCCTGGGTCTCCATCACCACCAGAGCTGAGAAGTGAGCAGCATCGTATGTGAGGAGCAGCGGGGAGCGTTGACACTCCCTGGGTGGACACTCCAGGGGCAGGTACACCCCGCCAAAGGGGATGGGAGCTAATGGTTCTCCACTCACATCCTGTCAGAACAAGCATGTTATCTGGAACCTTCTATGGCAATTTATGACATCTTCATCTTCTATGGCAACTTATAACACCCATGACACATTCTATGACACTTTCTATGGTACCTTATATGACACCTTACTAAATTTTTCCAAAGTTAGGATCTGTTTTACTCCATGAAAACTTTTAAGATGCTCAAATATAAACTGAACAAGTCTTGGTGAGCGATATAATATAGACAGTCATCTACCTTAAGAGTTATGTCCGCCACAACAATGATGGGCCGCCGCAGAACGTGAGCCAGCGCCAACACGTGTATTTCTTCCAAGCTCTCGTACACGCGCCCTGCACAGTCTTCACTCTGACCAGTTTGGAATCTGTAAGGAGATGCAATTGTTTTTCTCCATAAACCAAGCATAAAGAAATCACCTTTGGTCATTTTTTTTAAACATTCATTTCACTTATTAATATCCCGAATGCTCCCTCTGAGCTGTAATTAATCTTTTTAAACCAAATATATGTGATTTGATTAGGGTTACTAATTGGTACTCTGAATTGTTATTGGAACATTTTGGGATAAGTCTTCGTGTGTGGGTCGGCACCCGAGGACTTATCCCAAAAGTTCCAACTACTGTACCTACTTATATATGAATACAGTAGATAAAGTCTCTGAAATACAATATACTGTACTGCATATGTAAATTAAAATGAGAAAATAAAGAAAACCAACATTTAAATGTTGTATTAATTTGTTCCGACGGAAATGTATATAACTTTAAGACACCGATGTGTAACCCTGTGATGTTTTCCTTCAACTCCCAAGATTTTTCGTCTCCCCATTGAGCTTCTCACAAATTATCTAGCATTACATTCCTACAAACATCCCCTCGTTTGGTAGATTATTGAGATAATAGTTTACAACAAATGTCACCTGTAAGACCAATGCTGATAATTACCTGTTAATTTTTTTCCATGTTATATTTCACTGTCTGGATTGTTATTCTGGTAGTGCTTACAGCAGGTACTACCAGTGTTTGTTAGGTTAGGTTAGATTACAACAAATATTTTTTAAGAGGAAATATTGAAACCTAACCTATAATCAGGATTGGAAAAAAGTGTCAATTGATAAGACACTAGTGTATATTAAATCATCCCATAAATTGCATGAATTTTTAACCCCCCCCAAAAAAAAAAAAAAAAAAAGAAGCCATGAAAAATTACCAATACTGTACTATATATTAAACCCCATTCCATGTTACTGTATGTCCTTATAGTACAGTACAGCGCTGTATATAAGGCAGATAAAGACAAAACATAAAATTATACAGTACTGTACTTGAATTTAATTTAAAAAAGACCAAAAATTTATATTCTGATAGAAAGAATTACTTAGCAGTTTTAAGCCCAGCCTTACTAAGATACAATTAAATTGATAGTTGATCATAGTATAACAAAACATTGAACAATAAATAAAATATACTGTACAGTGTTGCAAATTTTTTCTTAATTCTAAATAATCTTGTTTATCTTGCAAACTAAAATAAGATACAGTAATATAATTAACTGGCAATATTCCTGATAATTTCATTAAAGCAAGGGGCAGGCATAGTAAGTCTACAGTACAGTATTGTACTGTATTGCCAATTTTGTCATCATTCTAAATATTGTACTTACAGTACAGGTCTCTCTCACTACACCAGCATTCACTCAGCCAATATTCACAAATACAACTATTTTATTCTTACACCACTTTCTCACGATACAAAATCCATGGTACCTTAAGGTAATGTCCCAAGTTTATACTTCATTCATTTCTTAATGTGATAGTTGCTAAATTACAGTGATTATGTACTAAATGACTGTAATTAGGTCCTAATTTACAGTAGTTAGGTAGGTTTTTTTTTGTGAACTGATTTAATTTGTTTTATGAATATATTGGGGTTTTTCTTGTAGTTAGGTACTAAACTACAATAGCTAGGTACTACTATAGTAGTTGCTAACTGCACACCTTATTTCCATAGGAGACAAGAAATAAAATAATTATAAATGGATGTCACTTAGAATATTTCTGGGGCATTTCAAAGCAAACAAAGGACAATAATTATCATAAGAAGAAGACAATAAATGAACAGTATCACAGTACATAAGAAATTATTCCACGAAATAGACGGAAATAATCTAATCGTCTCTACAAGAACTGAAGGAACAGTAGAGCATAAAAAATTATAGAAAATAAACCACCTGTCATCATTATTAATGTTTTACAGCCATTTTTCCACCAAACCTTAATGACCTCTACATGATTTACTAATTAATAAGAGACATCTGACCTCCCACCACGTAGTATACACAACTAAGACAGAGATCAAAGAGTCTTAGCATCTACTCATCTTACTCTCTGCCCTGAACACAGTAACTCCTGATTTATAATGCTTTCCCCCCCCCAGAATAAGAGGCAACATTTCCTCAAGTAACTGTTGGTATCCGTCAGAAAATACTGCACCGTATATTATTTCTTTCATAATGACCTGTGTTTTATCATCTTGGAATTGTTTATCATCCTAGAAGAGCCATTCAGAGTCTACTACATATGAGCAACATAATGAAACTACTTAGTGAGGGAGAAAAAAATAAATCTTACCCGTTACTTAATCTCTTGCTCACGGTAGGAGGCGGAGAGTCAGTCCTGGAACCTGTGCTACTGGTCTGGCTCTTGATCTTCTGACTGCCCTCCGATGATGACCCTTCTCCGCTGCTGTCTTGGCTGCCTCGCGGGGCGCTCGAGGCCAGACGAAGAACGTTTCTCCATTCTGTTTCCCACTCATCATCACTGTAAACTAAACCTGAGGAGAGAGAAATATATTGGTTGGGCTTGAAAAAGTACGGCACAATCCTATAGACAGTGGAGCACAGTGCTGTATTTGATAAAAGTTTCAGAAGCATTTAATTAATCCCTTGTGTATAGGTTCCTCTCAGAGCTGAATACAATCCTCCGGTATTACCCATATAAAATATTAAAAGTGACCTCCCCATAATGAAAGGTATAAGATGTTTGTTTAGTAAAGAGGAAGCTATTAGCAGCTGAAAGTGAGAAGATAAGATTTAGTTTCAAGTGATAAGTCAGAGTTGCCAACTTGATAAGGAGAGAGTTTCAATACACTCATCTGCCTAAACACATGCGACTGATGTGAAAATAATAGTTTCTGCCTTTTTGTTGAGAACAGTACATGAGTATATTATGGTACGAGGATGAAAATTCAGCAGAAGTAAATGATCATTGAAGGTTTAGTTAACAGCGAGAGTATACATGGAAAAGTACCCAACTGTAGTCTGTAAATGTGTAGTAATAATAATAAAAAAAGGAATGACTGGGATAGCAACAGTGATTTATTTTAGAGAGACAATTCTTTTACTCCCATCGTGAGAGAGAGACTACTGTAGGTGGACAACGGCTGACACATAAACACAATCAGTCACCTTAAGAGTCAGTGCCATCATCTGTGCTGCTGCTTTACCTGTCTCTCTGTTCTGTTGTGTGACTTGCCATCGCCAGCGTCGCCACAGTGGCCGGCTGAACTGACTCCGAGTTAAGAATTCATGCAGGGCTTTGCGAAGGGTCAACAAGCGGTCGTGAAAGCCCCACATTCCTGCAAGTTAACAGGAAATAAGAATCATCAACAGTAAAAAAAAAAAAAGTCTGTAATACTGAAATTTACTTGTAATTTCATCATGTACTCACACACTATCTTAATTCTGGTCCTCACTTGTATTACAGTGGGAGATATATAGTATAGTGCTGTACTGTATTGTTTACCTAATGAAGCAGCATGCAGGAGACAATTGCCGTCACCAGTGGTCGCCAGAGGCCACAGTCTCTGGGATGCTCCGATGAGTGCCCACCAGTTGAGGCGGCCAGCACCCTCCAGGGACACCAAAGTTGATGTTTCTATCAGATCTCTTTCCAAAAATAAGCGAAATTCATCTGCAAAGTACAGAAAAACCTCCATGTAACAGACTACATACAGTACATGGATAAGAAAGTTCATTATACATTGAGGATCTTGTATATGTGAAACCTTCCATCTAACTGATTAAATGGAGAGAGAGAGAAGTATATTACATGGAGGTTTCACTACTGTATATTATAAGACATTATGAGAACGTGTACACTAGCAGACAAAATTCCCTCATCTGGCATCTACTTATGGGTGTTGTTATATCTAATAACATTGTTTTTCATCACATTATGTCGGAACCACAAAATGGAGAAAAAATCCTCCTTATTACAAAGAAAAATCTGATAAAATACTGTATGTTAAAATTCCAATTATCTTAACCAAAGGATTCTGAAGCACTTACACGCTAGATACTGCACAAGGAAACAAGGTTCACTGATCTGTATGGTGACCGGTTATGACACAACAACTATTTCAATCCTCTGAGTACAATGCCTTGCTCTCATTAGCTGACTTCAATCTGTAGAGACCATCATGATCATGGAGACAAGACTTACCTGAGTATATGCTAAGGTCTGGTAATGTGAAGGTGAAAATGGGAGTCTCTATAAAAAATGGAGTACGGCTGGAGTCTATTGCTTCCCAGATCTCTTGCGCAAACTCCGACCGAGCTTTGGATACTATGTTGACGTTGTCGGTCGCCTTGGATATTCCCCGACTCAATTTTTTGTCTGGAAAGAACACCAACGTAGAGTTAATTCCTACACGACTGGGCTGCCGACCCTCTCTTGACCTCATAATGGAAAGTATAACGTATCCAGTACCAAGTGAGTGTTCTTCAGCTGCTACTATAGCGTGCACTCTACAAAGATATCTTTAGTGTAACCTAACTTAACCTAACCTTACCTGACCTAACCTATATATTTTGTAGACCGCAAACTACAGCAGCACCGTTCTTCATATCTACAAAACACATGTCCCTACAGAATCTTCCCTTTACACATATTAAATAATAATGATGAGCACATTAGAGGAACTATATCTCTACATTCATATACAGTATGGTAACTAATAAATAAAGATTCAAGGAAACAAGAAAAACAAAAATACTAACAATAATCATATTCTTCCAGGTCGACAGCTTCAGTTTTCCGCAGCAACGGCTTGGCGGGCGAGCAGGGGGCAGAGAGTGAAGACGTCCCCGAGCAGACCAGACTGGACACCCCTCCTGGCCGCACCATTCTATCTACCTCGTCGTCTCCCCCGTTGTATTTCTTCTCCCCTTTGATATGTTTCTTAACACCATCGGGGAACCGGTATTCTTTATTACTACTACTGATGCTTTTCTCTGGCAGACGAGATTCCTGACAGTCACAGATACAGTTACTCTCCCGGTCGCTTAGCTCGTTGAGACCGGGAGGGCACAGGTAGTCCTTCGGGGAATCCACAGTTATAATTCGCACTAACTTGGAGTCTTTCACGGCGTACGTGTCGAAGCTATTAGCTGTCGAGGAAATGATCACGCTCGACGGACCAGTGGCGGCAGAAGGCACAGCTATTGATGAGTATGGCGACGAGTCTTTGGAAGCGGCCTGCATAGTGGTTGTTGAAGGTGATGAATGGGGTGAAGCATTGTAAACAGAGTTCGTTGTCTGGCTTGTTGCGGTGGAGAGGGTTCCTGAGTCGTTCACAGATGATGATGAATAGTCATCTAAATATATATTATTGTTTTTATTGGTATTATTATTGGGATTATTGACACTTAATATACAGCTACTATTAACAGTTACTTGCAAAGAGTTAGTGGAGTTATGCGGCGTGGAGGAAGCCCTGGTGTTGCCGTCGCGTACCGAGTTCCTCTGGCTCTCCAAGAAGCTTGCCGACGTACCACGAACCTTTTCTATGAGAAGGGCGTTCTTTGCACTTCCACTCTGAGGTTTTGACGGACATTTATTTATACTAGGCACGAGAGAAGTGGCCACCGGGGATGAACAAGGAGAACAGAAATCTAATCCTTGACAAACATTATGAGAATGGTTCACGCTGCAGCATTTTTGTATGGGCGGTAAGCTGGTGATCCGCGCACTGCTGATACTCTTCTGGCCGTACGGCTCAACCAGGAAGCCCGCCACGGGGAGGACGTCCGGGCCCACGGGAGGCAGAACGTGCGTCAACACCGACGGCATCACGGACTGTCCCTCGTGAAGCAACTTGGGCAGGGCTCCGACTTTTCTCGCTCTCGGAGGTGGGAGAGGCGCCAACTTGGAACCGCAGGACGATCTTCCATCAGAAAGATGTCTGCTGTCAGAGTTAGACTTATGGTCAAACACAGGTTTAGGGGCTACTGGTGGCTTAACTGAAGAGTTGAAATTTGGGGGGGCAGATCGTGTCAGCCCTGAGTGATGAAAGGGACTGGCCCCTCTTAGCACCGAAAACAGCTGTACAGCGGCCTTCACATCCCAGTTCTCGTCTGAAAATAATTTTATGTCATCAAATTTACTTGTCTTCAAACTATAGTATATAGTACAGTGCAGTAGAGTGAATTAAGTTAATACACAGGATTGTGGGCACTAACAGGTTAAGTAAGAATATTACCACTTAACAGTCTATTAACTGATCATCCAGCAGAGGGAAGTTAGATTAATCAAGCTACAGTCTTAATAAATGTGTCAGCCATGACTATATATATATATCACCACAGAATAAATATATGTAATACAGTAAATTACTACTACAGTATGCAGGGTACAGAGCTTAAAAAGATTTTTAATATCTATTATTTTTCCTTAAAACCGTACACACAACATCTGCTTAACAATATTAAGACTTTTATTTCTGTTACTACTGTATATAACATTCCCTTTCCTTAAGGGTAAGGTTAGTTGGACCTTGCCTTGAGGAGTGGCAGCTTGTCCACACCACCGTCAATATAGAGTGAAACCTCTATTAAACGGACTATATGGAGACGAAAGTCTGTTATATCAAGGGTCTGTTAGATATAAAAACTGCATCTAACGAACGGTATAGAGATGAAAGTTGTTACACCAAGGTGTCCTTTAGATGTGGAAGCCCCATCTAACAGACTATATGGAGAGATAAGTCAGTTATATGGAGGTTTCACTGCAGACTCACCACCTCCACCAGGCTAAACTCTAACTTCACATAGTGAGGGTCTCAGGCACAACCTACGAACACCCGCCGAGACGAACGAGGTCCCAGAAGGTCAATTATTTTAAGAATCCAACATAAGTACAACTGGTTTGTAGTAGTATTTATGTACAAGAACTAGTTTGCGTGGCATAGAGGTGAGGCTGAGCGGTGGGTGGGGAGTGATGCATCAGCCACACGCCTTGAGGGAGCGTCAGTACACTTTACCCTCACCGTATTAATGTGTGTGAACAAGTGCAAACTGTTGTTTTTAGCTTATTAACTCTCATTTTCTGCCCTCATCATGGATACCATATGCAAACCTGATGCAAGTGATAGTAGCACATCCAAGAAAAGGAAAACAATTACAATGGAAATGAATGTTGATGTAGTTAAACATTCTAAAAAGGCCAAACATCCTCAGTCATTGGTAAAGCGTTGGGCTTGAGTCGGTCAGCGGTCGGAACAAATTTGAAAGACAAACAGAAAATTCTTGAATAGGCAAAAGGATCTACGCCAATGTATTCAACTGTGATGACAAAACAATTCAGTGAATTGTTAACTGAAATGGAAAAATTGTTAGTGATATGGGTGGTAGATTAAAATCAATGGCATTTGCCTCTAAGTCTCGCCTTGATTCAGGAAAAAGCAAGAAGCTTGCATGCTGACTTGAAGGTTAAACGTGGCGGTGAAAGTGATGGGGAAGATTTTGTTGCTAGTAGGGGCTGGCTTAATCAGTTCCCTAATGGTGTTTGGTACTGCCCACAGTTTGTCCATGATATCAGGGGCTTTGAAAATGATGTTGGGAAAGTGACACAGACAGTGGTAGACCTTATGAACCAACTCCAGCTTAATATTCATGAGGATGATGTCACACAGTTGCTTGAGTCTCATGCTGAAGAATTAAACAATGAGGACCTGATTGAACTGGAGAAGCATATTTTGTCAGGATGTAGAGGAAGATGAAACTCCAGAACCAAAGCAATTCATTACAAAAGAAATGACAGATGGTTTCAGGCTTTTTGAAAAAGGATTGTTTAAATTTAAACACCAAGATACCAACACAGCAAAATTCATAGAGGTATTACTGAATATCTATGATGCTACGGAGAGCTGTATGACAAAAAAAAAAATAGTGTCAGTTCAACCATCCCAATGAAGCCTCTGTCACTCCTACAAATAAAAATAATAATAATAATAATAATAATAATAATAATGATAATAATAATAAACGGTTTTTTAATTGAGTTGCAGCCGGTGGCTGAAAATATGCCCAACTCTCCATGCAAGCCAGTCCCAGGTTTCAATGAAAGTGTTTAACTTTATTTTTTTATCTTTACTGTATTTTGACATTCAATTTCTTCTTTTCTCCTAAATTAGGTGTTTCAAGATGTATAAAAGGACTTGGGCTATGATATAGTGCACATAGGGTATGTGTTCCGACTTAAGAACGTCCTCATGAATGGAATTCGTTCGTAACCCAGGAACCCCCTGTACACTTAAAATACTTATTGTAAAATTGTAATTGTTAATTTCTCTATCACATTAGTCAAACTTCTGCCACTAACTCAAATAAATAAATAAATAAATAAATAAAAAAGTAATGAATGTCAAGTAGATTAAGTTAGAGCTCGGAGAATGATGTAAACATGAACCAACAGATTAACACAACTTACTCTGCAGTATTTGTCGAGCGAGGACCGGGTCAGCTTGTGTGTGTGAGATGAACTCTGTAACTTTCTCCGCCTCCATCCCGAACCTAGGCAAAAAATCAATCACCGTTATTTACTTGAAAAAAATTCTACATTGCTAAAAAAAGGAGAAAAAACTATATCAAATAATATAGATCTGAAAATCTTCCCTATAAAATAAAAAAAATAAAACACCAACTTTCATAATTACTGATTACAAATATATCCAATAAAACACAGAACTAAATCTCTCTGTTCTGTAGTAACACAAATACTGAACCTGTATTTCACGTGTCTTGTATTGGCAATTATCTATAGTTCAACTGCTCGGGGTACTATAATAATTTTCTCTATGAATCTTGAGTTCAAGGATTTATACCAGTCGTTGCAGAACTGTATGCAAAGAATTTAGCCTCGAGGTTTTAGTAGCACAGAAGTTTTATTTATTAGTAAACCCGAGTCTAACACTGGTCAGGGTGAAGGCCAGTTCCTCACCTTTTATAAATCTAAGACAGAGTAAGACAAATCATTCCTACTCTTCCCCGATCACGACCAGGAAACAAGTGTACCAAATGATGTGAACATTTTCCTGGGTTTATCTATAAGAGAAAACCCCTGGACAGTATGTGTATTATTGGGCAGACTTCTTTACTGAGTTAGGTTAGGCAATATGAAGTTTGTGTTTATCCATCTACCTATCTGAGTCTCACTATCAATACCACTCCATTCAAACACCAACATTCCCTCATTCTGCCCAATAATACTAACTCCAGAACAGCGGTGTATGTGTAAATGTCTTACAAACTTTAATATCATATGTTTTCTTTTATCTATATACTATAATTTTTTGAGGGAAGTCCAAAAGTAAATGACAAAAGCTAAAGCTAGACAATCACAAGGAAAAAGCCTACAATGGTCTCTTACTTATTTATGCTGGGTGTGTAATAAACTTGTAACTAAGATGAATATTAAGTCAAGGATCAATATATGAGGTGATGTGTTAGTCTGCCATATATCTCACCAACCATCTCTCAACTCAACCCTTAATAACGTCTTCTCCCGCCACCACAGTATAATGGTCTCTGTTTACCTCATACTGATCACTCTTTTTCCATATCTACCTACAGTACCTATGTACAATCCCCTTCACTAATGCATTTACAGGGGGCTTGTCACGTTTTGTGCAGTGTGGCAGCCCTGTTTGTTTACATTCGACAGACGGAAACTCGCTTTAGTAAACTACCCTGGAATCAAATTAAAAACATTATTTAAACAAATATCTCAAGGATAATGATTTGTGGAATGTTTATATGACGAGCCCCTGTAAACACACCAGTGAAGGGGACTGTACCTATCCTCTGAAGTCTATATGACAGAGAAAACGACCTTAATGAAAGACATCGACAAATCATCCACCACAATTACCCCAAGACAGCTGAAGAGTTTATTGACCATCTTATAATCTGTAACATCTCTGAGAACATTTTTTGTAAACTGGATTACATTTTCCCATACATTCCCATTATAAAAGCTGAGATACATTCCTCAAAATAAAAACACTTCACCAAAACATATAAAAATAGCACAAGACATATTTTTAAGGAGACTCTTTGGTGTATACAATGATTATAAGCCAATCATTAACACAGAAAGTGAAATATATGCAGTACAGTCAGTAATAACTTTATACCTGTACCTACGAGAAACTGGATAAATGAAGCGAACAGTATTAAACAGTAAGCCAACATCTTATTTTGGAGATATGTTCTTTACGAAAAATAAATCCCACACTCGACCCCGAATGATGCTATAACATTATCCTGATCTGTTTACATGGTGCAAAAGCTGCCATTAGCCATCTAACGCTACAGTCACACACTCTTACAACTCGACATCTTTATTGTACATAAATACCATATCAAATTTAAGAATACGTACATAATATTCTTTTATTTAATTTGTCACATATTGTATGAAAGTTAATGAGGAGTAGGACAGTCAGGTAATTGGCTGAGTGACTGTGTGGTGAAGATGAGTCTACTTGTCTCCAGTTAGTCAAAGAAGTAAGTTATATGGTGAAGGTAGGAGACTGACGACACACTGAAAGCTTGTTGGTAGACTTAATAACATCATGAATATTAGTGAGTAATGAAGTGAATGAGTGAAGTAACGACTCTAAGCATATCGGTAGTAATAAAAAAAAAACATTACTTCAGCATTTTTCATTATCACTTTGGAAAAAATTATAAATATGATAAGAAAAATTTATAACTTTGGATTTTCATGAACCGAACCTTCATAAGCTGGGGACTGTCTGCACAGTGCTGATGTAAAAAGATCAATTACAATCCCTGTCACACCAACCCAACCAAAACTAATCTAACAATCCTAGTATAGGTTGGGTTAGATTAGGTCAGGTCAGGTTAAGTTAAATTTGGTTAGTTTATGTTATCTACTTCAGAAATACTCTGTCAAGTGCTAGTGTGACTGACAGACGTGTTCTTGCCACACTTTATCCTGAGGAAATCTACCCAAACAGACAACTGAAGAGATGTATAAAGTAACTTGGTACAGTATTACCAAAACAACACAGACACATCCCACAGTAGCCATGGTAGAATGACATCATGTAAATTAACAATGGAAAATGGAAAAAAAAATATGTCTCTTCAAGTATGCCGTCTTCATAAGCACCAAAATATATATCCGCGCTCATCAATACTTGTCAACAGTACGAAGAGGTTCACATTACAGTACAGGGTATTAATGTTATTTCCCGCCTTGTATTCTACGGCCCTCACATGTGCGTTGACGTGTCTTAAAAGGCTCACAATGGTTTCTGAATTAATATCTCTTAACAGAAGGTCATCACTGGGGTCCACGGCACAATGTTTCTTACTTCTCAAACATCGTCAACGGTAATTCAGACACAATAACGCAAAGGGAGATAAAAATTCTCACTATGAGTTATTTCACCTAAAGATTAACCATCGCAATTATATTTGAGGTTAGGTTAGCTTAGGTTGATATGTTAGGTTAGAGTAGGTTTAGGTAGGTTAGGTTAAGATAAGTTAGATTAAGTCGAGTTAGGATAGGTTAGGTTAGGTTAGCATTAGGATCGGTAATCTTTAGGTGAAATAAATTAGGGTGGAGATTCTTCAAGTAATTCCATTACCGAAAACAGTGCATATACAGTACTCTTAATGGCTACCTTGGACAACCATTAAAGTACCTAAACGTTAACTATTATTAATATACCTGTACTGTCTATCTCAATGTTGAATCAAGATGAATTTTATAATAGCTTAAGAGAATAAACATCAATCTTTAACTTAAACGGGTGTTTCCTCCATTCTTATGTTCCTATGTTCTTATAAGGGGAAATATATAAACTTGAAACTATAATAAATGGTTAAAACTTCAAACAAAAACTCGAAAAACATTAATCTAACAACCATTAGTTTAACAGACTAACAACAATTATCTTAATATAACACATAACAGAATCAAATTTAACACACATACACTATATAAATCAAGTGACTGGATATAATAAGACATATGTTAAGTAATATAACACAAAACACATAAACTGACACTATAAAATATTACATTCTTTTTGTCATGTTGGTTCACCTCAAGTATACTTAATACACTAATCACAACGTTGACAGCCCTTCCCCTAGTATGAGAGTATTATAACCCCACAGGAACAAAGGTTTAATATCACATAAGAGGGATAATAACGGTGATTTATCCTTTAAATAACCTGCAGTGGTCAATGTGGCCCAGTGGTCTCCTTCACCCATACTAAAGTTATCTAAATATGAGGCTGTGAGGACGTTATTATGAGTCATGGGGACACTCTACCTTCACTTATGAGTAAGGTAAGGCTTGGAGCACCCAGTGAAGAAGATCTAGGTCATTATTGCAGCAGACAGACGGGGTAGACGCCTTAGTTGCATCCATCAGCTGATTGGCGTCTGTCAGCCATATTATGGTTCACAAACTTCTTTCTCTTTCATTATTTTTCTCCCTTATAAACAACATAATATATTCTATCTTCCTTAATAAATGTCAATAAAATTTAATAAATGTATAATAGTCTATATCTTTTCTATATAGGAAGGATAGATTAAGTGTGAAGAACAATATGGCGAGAGTGAATATAAGTTGTTCCAATAATGAAATTACTGCGCAAGGTTATATAGTGGAAAAATAGGTTAATAAACAAAACCTGTATGACAATATGTACACTGGTATACACGAGTGTTTATATATATACGGATACATAATGAGAGAATAATCATATACTGTAATAAAATAATAATAAAAATAATAATAAAAATAAAGTTCTCCTCACGCCTTTCCTAATTACTAACATCAGTCATTACACCCGGTCAAAGGTTTATTTCCATTACCTATACACGTCTATTTGTCCTCTTTGTTTATACTTTTATTTTTATCAGCTAACAAACCGCTAATATCTGATATGAAACTAAATTGACGATGAATTTCAAGGTAAAATATCTTGACGTTCCCTTCCATTTATACCCTCCCCCCAACCCCACTCATTTCATTGTGTGTGACGCATGAATAACAACTCTTACAACATCATCTTATTTATACTGTATAGTGTATATCAGTATTAACGTGTCCACTATCACTCTACTAAATATATTCTTAATTTTCATGTTTACTTTCTTTGTTTTTATATACTTGTACTGTATTTCCATCTCAGCTGCTTCTCTGAGGATGCATGATAGGACTCGAGTGGTTTGACAATATACAATACATACAGGTAAACAATTGATTCTCGTTTTTTTACTTTTAATTCTATTTTTTCTCGTTTCTTCTCGTTATATATATATATATATATATATATATATATATATATATATATATATATATATATATATATATATATATATATATAGAACATAAGAACATAAGAATGGAGGAAACTGCAGCGGGCCTATTGGCCCATACTGGGCAGTCCCGTTTACACCCAACCCCTATTGCTCATATAAGCATCCAACCTATGTTTGAAGCTATTCAGCGTACAGTATTCGAGTTAATGATGATATTTGGTAACTTGTTCCATTCATCCACAACTCTGTTTCCAAACCAGTGTTTACCTATTTCACGCCTAAATCTAAATTTGTCTAATTTAAAACCATTGTTACGAGTTCGCTCCTGGTTGGATAGTTTGAGTACCTTTGTAATGTCCCCTTTGTTTAGCCCTGCCTTCCACTTATACACCTCTATCAGGTCGCCCCTCGCTCTACGTCTCTCAAGGGAGTGCAAATTAAGATGCTTTAACCTGTCTCTATACTCAAGGTTCCTAATGCCCGGGATTAGTCTTGTCATTCTCCTCTGAAATCTTTCCAAGGATTCTATATCCATTCTGTAATACGGTGACCAGAACTGAACTGCGTAATCCAGGTGTGGTCTCACAAGAGCAATATACAGTTTTAGGATGACCTCGCTAGTCTTGTAACTAACACTCCTTTGTATGAACCCAAGTACTTTATTAGCCTTATTACGAGCAAAAACACATTGTTTACTTGGCTTAAGGTTCCTACTCATCATTACTCCTAAATCTCTCTCGCAGTCGGATTTCTCTATGGCATCGTTGTTCATCTGCTGGTATCTGGTTTCCCTGTTTACATCTCCTATACTGAGTACTTTACATTTGTCGACGTTGAATTTCATCTGCCATTTTTCAGACCATTCGAAAAATTTGTTTAGATCTTCCTGTAGTTTTGCCGAGTCCTCGTCAGATTTGATAACACGTCCTATTTTAGTGTCATCAGCAAATTTACTTATGTTGCTGTCTATGCCGATATCTATGTCGTTTATGTATATAATAAATAATAATGGTCCAAGTACTGAGCCTTGGGGAACTCCACACGTTGTTTCCCTTTTCCCGTGTGATTTTATCAAGATTTATCTTATCCACGTTTTCATTGTGGATCTACATGAAATATATATATATATATATATATATATATATATATATATATATATATATATATATATATATATATATATATATATATATATATATATATATATATCGTCACTTTATTGTCTCTCCCTATCTCTAAGTTTCTTGCATTATTTCGGCATAATAATAAGCTACAACTCAGCCCCCACATCACCATGGTGTACAACACAGTCCCCACGGTGATAACTCGTGCCAGGAAGAACATCCGGCCATGTAAAAAGGCTTTGTTATGCTGACGAATGTCGTCATGGGCCTCGAGGGATGACTGTCTGTTTATTTTGGCTGTAATTTCTTGATATAGGTAGACGGGTATGGCATGAAGAAGTTACCACCAATTACGTGGCAGATGAAAGCTTAACTCCACCAATCATGTGATATAAAGCAAGTCTCCCACCAACCGTGCGACAAACCCGGGCCCTCTCCACTAATCACGTGATAGAAGTAAACTACACTCTACCAATCACGTGACACAGGGAGCTACACTCCACCAATCACGTGACAGAAAGAAGCTACACGCCATAAATCACGTGACACAAAAAAGCTACATTCCACCAATCACGTGACACAAAGAAACGTAACAGAGACGTTACCCACCGCCCAAGCGGATAACGAGCCGATCAGTTGTGAAGAGGATAAAAGTAAAAACGCAAAAGTACACTTCAACAATCACGTGGCACAAGGAAGGTATATATTTGACCAATAAGGTGCAAGTGTTCGTTTACGCCGCCACATTTCTTTATTTCCGTGCTAGTTTTCTCACTTATTTATTTACTTAAACTTTTACTTTTATTTCTATCCTCTTCACCACTGATCGGCTCGTTAGCCGCTTGGGCAATCGGTCACGTTTCTGATTATTTTTCCTAATTCTAACCATAACGTAATTTTAACCGAAAAGCCAACAACGTTTCATGGTGATAACGTCAAGAAATTCAAAGAATTCCATACTGAATCTATGGGAATCTTTTGTTGACGTGACGACAGGAAGTTTGACTATGAACTCGTTTTGTGAGAGCTTAGTAATGTGTGACTCACTTCTCTCTCTCTTTCTCTCTCAACCGTATATCCGCCAGAGTTATTTCTTAACTATACGGAGATATACAACACATCAAGCGCCCAAGCGGCTAACGAGCCGATCAGTGGCGAAGAGGATAAAAGCAAAAGTAAATAGTATACTGTATCCTACAACCATAATAATAAAATAGTGAAGTCAACCATGTAACAGTTACATTTTCTTCTGTCATCGTAACAAAGAAAATGGACGTAAATACTTTCATGAATGAGATTAAATGAGGGACTTAATGACTTTGAATGAGTTTAAATGTGTTACCGTAGTATTAAAAAGACTAAGTGAGTATCACTTTAATTACATGACTAACAATAACAATAATAATTATATAGGTCAATTGCAAGGGAAACGTCATAGAAGAAGAGTGTCTTAGAATTGTGTGAACTATTGATTACAAAGATAAAATTATCGAAATTCTGTTGGTGGCAATAATAATAATAATAATAATAATAATAATAATAATAATAATAATAATAATAATAATAATAATAATAATAATAATAATAATAATAATAATAATAATAACAATAATAACAATAATAATAATAATAATAATAATAATAATAATAATAATAATAATAATAATAACAATAATAACAATAATAATAATAATAATAATAATAATAATAATAATAACAATAATAATAATAATAATAATAATAATAATAATAATAATAATAATAACAATAATAATAATAATAATAATAATAATAATAATAATAATAATAATAATAATAATAATAATAATAACAATAATAATAATAATAATAATAATAATAATAATAATGTAGTAAATTCAGGAGTCATATTAAATAAATTTAACCTGGATATAAAAATTTGAATAACAAAAAGTTCACGTAATTATTTGAACTTTTTGTTTTATAAAACACATCCTCACATATACCAGAATCATGCCACAGTGGTAGATCAAACAGTCCCTCACATATACCAGAATCATGCCACAGTGGTAGATCAAACAGTCCCTCACATCTACCAGAATCATGCCACAGTGGTAGATCAAACAGTCCCTCACATCTACCAGAATCATGCCACAGTGGTAGATCAAACAGTCCCTCACATCTACCAGAATCATGCCACAGTGGTAGATCAAACAGTCCCTCACATCTACAGAATCATGCACAGTGGTAGATCAAACAGTCCCTCACATCTACCAGAATCATGCCACAGCCACAGTGGTAGATCAAACAGTCCCTCACATCTACCAGAATCATGCCACAGTGGTAGACCCAAACAGTCCCTCACATCTACCAGAATCATGCCACAGTGGTAGACCAAACAGTCCCTCACATCTACCAGAATCATGCCACAGTGGTAGATCAAACAGTCCCTCACATCTACCAGAATCATGCCACAGTGGTAGATCAAACAGTCCCTCACATCTACCAGAATCATGCCACAGTGGTAGACCAAACAGTCCCTCATATCTACCAGAATCATGCCACAGTGGTAGACCAAACAGTCCCTCACATCTACCAGAATCATGCCACAGTGGTAGACCAAACAGTCCCTCAGATCTACCAGAATCATGCCACAGTGGTAGATCAAACAGTCCCTCACATCTACCAGAATCATGCCACAGTGGTAGATCAAACAGTCCCTCACATCTACCAGAATCATGCCACAGTGGTAGATCAAACAGTCCCTCACATCTACCAGAATCATGCCACAGTGGTAGATCAAACAGTCCCTCATATCTACCAGAATCATGCCACAGTGGTAGATCAAACAGTCCCTCACATCTACCAGAATCATGCCACAGTGGTAGATCAAACAGTCCCTCACATCTACCAGAATCATGCCACAGTGGTAAATCAAACACACCTTCAACATTTCACAAGTTCCTGAACCCTGAGTGAAACTTCTTTACACACGTACCTGAACCCAAGAGGCGGGAGAGGGGCCGTCACTGCCGCCACAAACATTCAACTGGAGTGGAGGGGCGACTGCGAGGCAAGAAGAGGAGGAAGGAACATTCCGATCCCGTATGCACTGTTTAACACGCGTAGCTGACACTCTCCTGAGGATTTACGTATATTAGCTGACAAACACCATTAAATAATAAATAATAGCTTAGATAGAAGTAATATGGCTTTTCCCTACACGGTTATAGAGATTCATAACATCTTTAAGTTAAGCCATGTAAAATGAGAAGAACGCTTGCTGGAAAGTCCCTTGTGCCGCTCTAGTGTGATGTGGGAGGCGGAGTCAGATATAGTGAGAGTTAGTCAGTCGGTTAGAGATTAAACAGACAGCTGGCACGGGCGGGGCTGGAAGGTTTTATTTTTTTGTATGTACTGGAAGTTGAATTTCCTGCTTCAGTACATCGCTCGTCACCAGTAAATAAAATTATGACGTCATTTTGTATCTTGTTTTCTTACTAGTTTATTTTCCTATTCTTCTTTTTCTTCTTTTTAGTTTTGTGTTATGTTTTTAGTGTTTGTTTGTTATTGTCATTTTCCTTGTTCTTAGTTCTATCTTTTCTTCTTATTATTTGTATTTTTGTGTTATGTTTTTATCGTTGTTTTTTTTTATTAGTCATTATTCGTCTTTCGTCTATCTTGCAAACAATCACTAATACTTATAATCTTTAGTCAATGATCAAGTTGGGTTAGGTTAGGTTAAGTTAGATTAGATTAGGTTAGGTTAGGTTAGGTTATAATGTTAGGATATGTTAGGTTAGTTTAAGTTAAGATAGCTTAGATTAGGTTAGGTCAGACTACGTTATGTTATATTAGACTACGTTATACATGGCTAGGCTAGATTAGGTTAAGTTAGCAATAGGATATTTAATCATCGGGTATAGAATTATCTCAAGTCAACATAACACTAACCGTCATATAACACAACCAACCACAACTTTCTACACCACGAGATTCTTAAAAGGGTTCCTACGTCAATTATTTCTCTTGTATGATGGGGGTCGGGAGAGGCCGCGTATAGAATTACAATGGTGTTCGTCAAGATCTCCCTGGATTGTGTGTTATCAGGCTGTGAACACGTGCTTCTGTAGTGGGCCAAAGATTAGAGTGAGAGAGTGAGTGAGTGAGTGAGTTAGCGAGTGAGAGAGTGAGTGAGTGAGTGAGTTAGCGAGTGAGAGAGTGAGTGAGTGAGTGAGAGAGTGAATGAGTGAATCAGACTGTCTTATCTAAACTATGTTGGCACTGATAACTGGTGGGTTGTGTGGAGAGAGAGAGAGAGAGAGAGAGAGAGAGAGAGAGAGAGAGAGAGAGAGAGAGAGAGAGAGCAGGTGACAAAAATAAACAAAGCACTACAGATTAATAACCATGATTAATTCTCAAAGTTTCAACATTTCGACCACAGATCCCTAATCAGAATATCGAGGACGACCTATATTGAGATTTTGAGCTAAATTATTTTTTTTTTTGGGGGGGGGAGATAAATTTACTCAAAATTTCAGTTTAGGTTGTTTTCAGCGTGGACATTTAGGATCTGTGGTCGAAATGTTGACATTTTGAGACTTAATGCTCTTAATAGTACCCTAGATATGAAGTTTTAATAATTAATTATGCTAAGTGATATGAGAACACTTTACATTGTGACGATTCTGTCCCCTCCTTCCTCTACCATCATAACAACCACTTGCTCCAACTTGACACCAGAAGAAGCTACTCGACCCCAGTGAGCACCGATCAGAACCAGTTTCCCGTCAGACTATTAGACCGGCTCAGCTGCGGACCGAGGTATCAAGGCAAGCGTGTCTGCCTGCTATAACTGGTACTGTAAGCTCCAGGGATGCCAGGTCGTGGACTTTGTTCCCGCCAAATCCCATCCCCAACCCGCCAACTCCTTCCCCCAAACCCGCCCCAAACCAGCATTACCAGTAATATAATGTATTACGCTCAAGAGGACAGACAAAGGTATAATACAACAAAAAGGGGAACATTTTATTTAATCGCTAAAATAAGCATTGGCATCATACATACACCTGCATGCACTATTATACTTGATAGTATTATATTATATAATATGAAATGCAAAAAAAAATCTTGAAAAATGTGTAAACATAATTAAATTAATGTATCCAAAATAACTTACATGCCTAGTAACCATACCCTGTTGTGACCGCTTGGGCAGTGCCTGTCTCCAGCTCTATCAAGCCCAAGAATGATGTAATAATTATTTTCTTTTCATTACTGGGATACCGAACAACAACACAGTTTCTTTTTCGTAGTAATGTCTGTGCTTTCATCGATTATTAATGAGTATTCACTATCACCGATATCACTGCAAAGTTCATTCACCAAACAGGGTACTAGTACTTTGTTCACAAGTGTCGTGCATTTTGTGCTATGTGGGGATATTTCCGAGGAAAATATATCTTTCACAAGCTCAGTCACATAATTGATAGTTTTTATGCTTGAATGGCAAGTAAAGTGAGCTGCTAATTTCAGTTCAGAAATTTTCACAGATTTGTTGGCATTTATTTTCGATATGGCAGACTGAAATAATGTTCTCATGTTTGAAAATGGAGCTGCTTTTTGTGTTTGTCTGTCTAACTGAGATCATTGTGATGGCCTCTATCTGTTGTTGTTCAGAACTTGCACGCTGCAGTAGTTTCATCACCCGGTACACTTACGATCCATTCTCTAAGGCCATCTTCTTTCTCCCACTCTTTCTTATATTTTTTTGCCATACTTTGCCTATTCCACTACTTTCTCGCGCACGCTATTTTAACTCCTCCACTAACCAGACTAAATGGCTGTGGAGATTCTAGAGAACACCAACATGGGTTTCAATCAAGTCGCATGACTGTCAGGTCAACTTATCAGGTCCTGCCCTCAAGATAATCCCCCGTGAGAGAGGGTGAAGAAGTTGCACGTCTGTGTTACTGGCAGCTGGCCGGGCTGTCGGCAGGGGCGCTTCTCATTTGGGCGCAAAATGCAATTTGTTATTCTTTCATCTGGGCGCCAGTATACCACTTCATTTGGGCGCCAACATATCGGTACTTCCTTGACATATTATCCTTCATTTGGGCGCTATTTTATGACGAAAATGGTATAGGTGGTTACAAGTTGTTTGACACGGAGTCGATTGTTGTTTAACGTCAGCAGGTCGCTCACTCAACCGGTGACAACCTTGTCGTGGCTACGCTGAGTGGCTGAGCTGCTCATTCCTTAGCGGGTCAGCACAACACCATAACCATGGACAGCCAATTCTCGGAAACAGATAAGAAAAAGAAGAATTTAATATATGATGGATTTACTTTTAGAGTCGACATGGTATTGGGAAACAGTCACCTACATCAAAGTCAGGGGAATGGATGCGGCTGCACCTATAAGACGCCAAGAAAGACAAAAGATGGACTTTATACTTGAACAGTTCCACAAATATGAAAATAGGGAAATTAGCCGGACCCAGTATATTCGATCAGCTGGCTACAAATTTCAACCCATAACCGATATGCTAACAGATTATGTTTAAATAAAGAAAATGTACATAACAGGTCAGATTTGTATATATTTTGTATTCCCTTGTGCTACATTAACTATTTATTTACCTGAAAGTAATGATATTCAAGTTTCAGAGTTGGCAAATATGTGTTATGTTAACTATTCATTTACCCAAAACTTAACATGCATGGTTTGCCTAGACTCAGCGCCCAAATGAGGTTTATTTTGGCGCCCAATTGAAAGATTTTTCCGCCCAAATGAAGTGTCAATGCGCCCAAATGAAATGCGCCCATCGGCAGTCATCGTGTGCTTCCGAAAATAAACAGCCCCAAACCCTCCAGCTTCAGTAAAAAAAAAAAAAAAAAAATACCACCCGCGACCACCATTTTATCTCCAGCTTCCCTCAAAATAGCCCAATTGGGCGAGAAAAACGCGGACCTGGCAACACTGGTAAGCTCAGTCTCTTCTCTGCGGCCTACAGTGTTCATCTTCTCCCGGGGTGTGGACGAAAGATTGTATGCCGGATGATCACAAACGATACGAGACTGTGACCTGCCTACGATGTGTGACCTGCCTACGGTGGCTGTTATGGTCGCATACTCAAAAAGAAAGTTATCACGTCAAATGATCGTTACATCTTGGCCACGAAATACGACACAGTTAACTACGGGGGAAGGGGGTTTCCGTTTTCTTTGATGCGTGAGCAGACCTTAACCACCTGTTGGCGGTGTCGTCTGCCTCATAACTTGAGCTATGACGTCTTTTGTCGCTGTGACTCAATACTCAAACATGGCCCATGGGCGCGGCCATGTTTGATGACGAATAGTTAGGACTGTTCAGGGGTGTTAGAAGTAAGCTTTGATGTCCCGCGTCCTTCTCGGCGTTATTACAGCTATTTAAAATACATTGAAAGTATAAATTGAAATATAAACATTTGCAAGCTAAAGTATATAGAAGCAAGAGCTAATATAAGGTGACAAAGTGCACAAAAACCACAAATCGCTGTGTCCAGAGGCGATTGGTGGAGGCAGACAACACCACCGGTATTTAACCTAAGGAAATGCTGACAACTTTTATCTGTTGTCCAGAGTCTTCAGTAAAATTACACAGCATCATATTTAACATTTCACAGCACATTTCCACACTTGCTCTTAGATTAAATGGCTGTAGGCCAAACAAAAATGACTAATATATATATTGTACAGTATATTGCCACCTGGAGAAAGATACCTTTGGCTAACTCATATATGTAAGTAAAATAGACAGAAAGCATTAGTAATGATGGTACACAACAGAACACTGATAAGAATCTTTATATTAAACCAGAGTCTTACTGAGCAGCACCAGTTGAATAAGGATTTCCATTGGTAAACTGAATGCAACTTATGAGATTCAAAGGTAAAAAATATCAACTAAAGACATATTTTGGTAAAACCCAGAACTACCAATTAAACTAAACAATAAACAACATAAAATTAATTTAATAAATAATAAGTGCATAACATAAGGGAATACCAATGACTCAGTATAACTTTTGTGGAGAAGTAAACTGTACAACTCCATTGTTAGGTTGTAAGATGTACTGTACAACCACATAGTGAGGCAGTCACTGTACCAGGGGGAGATATGGTCAACACGTCTAACACACATGGTGAGGCAGTCACTGTACCAGGGGGAGATATGGCCAACACGTCTAACACACATAGTGAGGCAGTCACTGTACCAGGGGGAGATATGGTCAACACGTCTAACACACATAGTGAGGCAGTCACT